GGTGTGAAATGAAGTTTCTTATTTTATAGATTGAACATGTTCATAAGATTGTGTTGTATTGACAATTATGAATTTATTTGAAATGAATTATTTAATTATCTATCACAGCTTTTTAAATAATTTTCTTATCTAATTTTTTGTTAATTATTTCATAATTTGTATTTTGTTTAACTGGGTTTCTATGTTTTCTTCTTTTTCATTAAAAAAAAAAAAAAAAAACTTTGTGAAATAATTAATTTGAAGACAAGATGCCATAATTAAAATTGGTAATGCAGAAATAATAGGGGAGAAAATATGTTGATTTCTGTTATAGGCCAAGGCTGTCTGTCCAAGTTTCCTCCACCGCATCCCATTTGGCACAATAGCCCTTCATTGATGAACTTCAATTAACCTTAAATCCTCCTCAACATCATCTATCCTTATGTTCCATGTCCCAAATCTCAGATCCAATTTCAAGCCAGGTAATCGGGAATGTGTCAGTCCGGAAGATTACTTTTGAGATTTCTGAATCAGAAATTTTTACAAGGCAAGGGGATTGGCCTTGTGCTCAATCCCCGACCTGAAAGGCCAGACCTCCAAATGTATAAACTCCTTAGAGGCAGGGGTGCCCAGCTATATCCCTGGACACTGGGTACCCATTTTAGTTGCCTTTTATGACAAGTATGAGCTACATTGAGACTATTCTTTCACTCCTGGTCACCACACGGTTGAATATCATTACAAAATGGTCAGGCACGGTGAGATAGCTTCCCTGCAAAGCAGTTTTAGGGTTGCCATAAAATGGCAAGTTAAGGCAGGGTTGCCACTTTTGGCAAGAAATTGCCCTTTGACGACAAAATTGGCGATATGCCATGGACGGATGGAGAACCTTCTGGAACAAATTCTTACAGGTTTAGCCCGGAATGTTTTCAAACACCAGTCAAAAGCTATATAAACCCTGCTGTTACGTGGAGAGTCAGTTAGTATCGAGTTGGTGTCTCGTCTAGTGAGTTAGTCAATCCCTGCAGAGTCGATCGGGTTGACAGCCGGGCAGCAAGTACCGAGTGGGTTGTCAAGTGCACCGAAAGAGTCTCATAGTGTATCGTGGTTAGTGCATCGTTGAGAGAGCGTGTTGAGCTCCAGGAATGACTGAACCGAAGAGTCGGGAGCTGTGCTCTGTGTGTCGTCGAGTGCATCGCGAGTTGTAGCGTGCAGAGTCTCGAAAGTACGTGAAGTTCTGAGAATGACCAAGCAGATTCAGGAGCTGTACTCTAGTACTTTGCCATGAAGCTGTCTCCACCGTGATAACTTGATAACCTGAATGCTGTGTCGCTGATCGTGTTAGCGTGTTTATAACAGCTCGATGACTGTAAAAAAGTGACTTTGGAGCTGTCCTGATTAATATTGGCTAAGTAAAGTGTGTTTCGATACTTCATCAAGTGTCGTCATTATTCACTCCAAATCCACACGAACCCCGTGCGAACGTGACAACTGGTGTCATAACGTAACAACTGGTGTCATAAAAGAAAAACGTAACAATATGTATTTAGATACATATTATTGTGACTTTCAAAAGTAATAAAAAATCAGAAACCTTTGGTGTGCTTCTAAATACAAGATATACAGACATTATTCTTGGCAAAAAAAAGAACACCAAGCATTTTTTTTCACTCACTTATGTACAGTATTCAAATCATCCATTCTTGACCACATCCAAAATACAACTATTGAGTTTTTTCAATGTTCTGCCTTAGAAAGTCCTCCATGAAGACATCCCTCCCCTTAGGCAGGTAGCCCTCGAGGCTTTGCCGTAATTAAAATAACTAACCTTTTCAATGTTCTGATAATAGTTCTATTAGAGGTGGAAAATATGGCTGTTTTAACACATAATTATATCAGCATTATGCCAATTCCATAAATCTGCAGATGTATTGCTTTCAAGAAAAATATTTGTAGGGTTTGTACAGTCTTAAAGTCCATATGTTTTTTTTTAAAGTGATTTTTGGTCCTTAAAAGGCCTTTTAATTATGGCCAAAATTGGCAAAAAAAAATCCTTAATTTTACTCATCTGACATTTATGTCTGTTTTTATGACTGCTACTTTTAACTAACATTATGGAGGAACATTTTCTGGCTATTTCTTGACAAATATGTATTTCATTGGATATCATTTGAATTTGTTCCTACTTCTAAAGTAAGTGGTGGGTAAAATATATTTTAGAGTGCCCCTTGGTGAAAAGTGGCGATTTTTGGCAACTGGGCAGCAAGGCACAATTTCAAGATGGCCACTACACGAAACCAAAATAACAAGTCAAAGAATTACATAAACTCGGTGTCGATCTATTTTCACTTAATAAACACTGGTAAATTGCCCAGACTAGTCATTGTGCACTTCCTTGACTTTGTCCATGTAAACATCAATCTATTTGCACTTAAAAAAAATCAGGAGAATGATGACATTATATAATGTTAAAACGAAGTTACTCATTACCAAAATTGAACAAAATTTGTAGCCGATCGAAGCTCAATAAACTGCATTTTAAATCACGCAATGAAATAACATAAAAAAGGAAATATTGACTTACCATATTTAGAAATTTCTGTCTTCAGTCTGTGGCACACAAAATTCCTTAACTCTGGTTTCCAGATCCTTAAATGTCACTATGTGATTTACTCAGAAGTGAACAAAGCCATTATCAAAAAGACAATCTTACGACTTCCAGCAGTTGGATATGATTCTTGTTCCAGGTGAAATATTCCGTTGAATTACATCCAACAAAGTTTCTTTTCTTCTGTCCTCAACAACCTTTCGCTCTCTTGTTCTATACTACCGAACACTCAGTTTACCAGCGGCAGCCATTTTACGATGCAAAACACAAAATAGCAATGTACTTCCTATCTGACATCCAATGCAGAAATATGTCCTTACAAAGATTTTCCCATCTGTCAAATTCACCGAAATCTCACAACCAATCACGTCACAATAGAGTTTCCATAACATTCAACTAATCAGGTAAATAAAACAACAACTGGGTAATAAAGGAAACAACTTGGCGATAATCCAAGGGGCACCTAAAATATAGACTAACCAGAGTTCATAAAATATTACATACTAACTAAACATAAACATTCTGAAATTATGTCATTCTTGCAAATAAAGAGTTCATAAAATTACATCAAAAACAGCTTTTCTCTTCTTGCAATATTTATTCTTTTATTATGTGGCACAAAATTTGGCGATTTATATGTATTTTGACAGTTGTAAGACTAATTTGTATATAAAATTTTTATTTCAGAGATTAGCAAATTTTTTGTTAATTTTTTCCCACTAACTTAACATTGATGAACATCATCAACATAATGATATTAGCAATCATATTAAAGTGAAATACTATTTTCTTCTGTCATATTTTAAAGTGATATTGTTTTACATTTCGGCAACTTAAAAAAATTTTTTAATTCTGAAAAATAAACAAGATATAAATTGCTGTAAAGCACATTTTCTGAAAAACTTCTCAGCAAAAACAAAAGACCTGCAGGTTTAAAAAAACTAATTTGATTATTCTTCTTTTATGTTTTTTCATTATAAGAGTTTTTTTTTTTTTTTTTTTCCATTTAATAATGTCAGAACATATTCAAATGCATATAAATTTTCTTTGTAAAATTCTTTTTGGATCCTCCCCCCCCCCAAGATTTATAATGATTTGAAGATAAGGTTTATAGACCTGCAGTTGAAAAAAATATGTGACAAATATATCAAATATGACAAATATATCAATAGTTCAAAAAAATATGTGATGAAAAAATATTTTCAAAAAAATACGTGAGTGTTTTCATGATATTAATATGTGGACTAGTTTTATAGGAAGTTAGTGATGAATTTATGTATTTGTTCATTTATTCTTTGAGAATTTTGGAAGAACAGTAAAAACAAAATGATTTGAATTTTCTACTTTTGATCCTAGTAAGTATTTCTTTTAACATGTTTATCTTTCCTTTATTTTTTTCTCCATTTCTCTAGATACAAGCACATATCTGTAAGAAGGACTTTTTCTATTAACACAGAAATTGATAATTCACAGTTTAAAATATTCATCTTGTGTGTCTCAGTACACCACACTCTGAACTGGCACTGGGCATTTCGTCACTTGATGCAATCTTTGTGGGTCCTAAATTGTGCTGTGTCCTAAATTCCAGTGACTGTCTTAAGTTATCTAGTTCACCCATTAGCGGCAATCCAAATAAGGTCTCATACACAAAGAATCCCGATTAAGGGACATCTGAGGTGCTGGTAAGAGTGCGATAAAGTTCACTGAGACCAGCCTAAAAAACAGTATCATTGTCCTAAATTCTAAAAATTTTACCATCTTTAAATTTTTTCACTCAGAGCTTCACTAAATTCTAAAAGTTCCTTTGTACCAGCTTAGACCATATATCATTTCATATTTATTCGCAGTGCTCATATTACTAAAGAAATAAAATCAGCGTTTTCTTCTATATATGGTAAATGCATTTTTAGAATAACAGAAATCTTTAATTAAATTCTAAAATGAAGAGGAAATTTATTGTGGAAGAAATTGAGTACATAAAGAGAAAGAAAATTGTTCTTCAAAGGTATATTGGGAAAACATTAACAAGTTAGGAGATGGAACAAAGACCAGTAGGTTATATGTTTGTTTATTGAAGAAATGATATAGTTATATGTTTGTTTATTGAAGAAATGATATAGTTATATGTTTGTTTATTGAAGAAATGATATAGTTATATGTTTGTTTATTGAAGAAACTTTCTTATTATTAGAGCAGTGAGAAATTTATTATACTATTTTTTCTTAACAGTGAACTGTAGTCAGCAATGAGTGTTTTTTTTTTTTTTTTAAGTGAATTTTTTGTGGGATTTGTTTGAGGTTCTAAAATAGTATTATAAAAATTACTGTGTACATTTGAAATATTTTATAGAAGAAAAATAAAAATTTTAACCTTGATTTTCAGTTAATTTTTTCCCATCTTTTTATGTTTATAGCAGAAGCTATGGATGAAGGTGGCATGGGCTATAATATTGATGCTAAAGGAATTTTTGGGTATGTTACTGGACATTTCAGGTAAAATCAAATGCCTTTTTAACAATCTTCATAAGCCAAATGTCTTACTTACTAATACCTAGTATTGTGTTTATGTTGAAAGTACATAAAAACAATGTAGTTTCAGCACTTTTAAAGGCAAACTCTATTATATGTACCACATCAAATCTTTCTTATCTGCCTTTAAGAATTTTGTGTGCCAAAATTTGATTCCATGCCAGGTTTCAATTGATAGATAATTTATAAATATCAACTAAATTAAAAACAATACTTATTGTCCACATACTCCACTGACAGAGAGTCATGAACTAATACCATCTAATTTTTCACCAAGCTGATGCTTGAAAGGCAACAGCCATTTTCAAAATCATATTGCACTAAGCATTCTGTACAAGAGCACTTAATTACTAAAACTGAAAAGGTAGGAAACATTGATAATAAAATCCCTGGGAGAACAGCAGAGGGGGGGGGCTCTGGTGTTCTCCCAGTGTACACAGTGATCTGTTTTTGCTTAAAAAACATCAGAGAATTGCCCAAATTTGGCATTGTGCACCGTGCAGAATAGACATAAGCTATGTACGTATCTGAGTTGCCATATATATTCTTTTTGGCAACATTGTGGGTTGCCATATGACTGTTTTGGCAACATACTACTTTGTACATGAATACTTTTTATGACTTTTCAGTTGGAGATCTCGATAATCAGAAAGTGCCTTCAAAACTTTGAGGTTAATGGAAATGAAATGTAAAATTATTGAGCTGTGCAACATTATAAACTAATTATGAATTAGTCTGAAAAAGAACTTTTGCTATTTTATGCGTAACATTAAATTGATGGTTTTCTGTAGTGTCATTAAAAAAAAAAGTGTATGTTGCAATCACTGACAAAAGAGCTTAGTCATACATTTAATGCAGTGACACTTATAACTTTTAATGGGACTTCTTCCCGTAAAGGAAACTATTACATAGCATAAGAGGAGAAGAACTTATAATAACAGCTAAAATTAGATTCATATGCACTAAGCAGAAAGTAGTCTCTTTTTTTTTTGTAATTAGGGATTTAATTTTTATTTTTATGTGCTTGAACTTGGAGAAATTATTTCATAAATAATGGTACTAGAAATTGTGTTAATTATAAGTTAGGCAAACATGCTTAGCTGTTTTATTTAAATCATATTTGAAACAAGCTTTACTGTATAATATTCAACTGAGTTTTTGAAATATTAAACAAGACTTTAAGTAAATATTGATATAATGAGATATGCTTACAAACAAGCCATTGAATGAAAGTGAGTTTTTCCATTTTTAAAATATTCTAAGGATAAAAAGCAAACAATATCATAAAATACGAAGTTTAGAAAGTGTTGCAGGTAAGCTAAGAGTAAAGAAATTCAATCCGAATGTCATTACTTCTCACACTCACACACATTCTCAGCAAAATGGAAACCCTAGGATAGGATATTTTTTAAAAGGGTATGTATAAAATCGTTTAAATGAAAATAAATTGCACATCTGTTGCCTGAATATTAAATGCAAGTGATAGTAAATGGCAGCAGAATATATATTCAGACTGACGTAGGAGCAAGCCATGTAATCAGCCTCTGCTGCGATAATGAATGCTTTTCTGCCATCACTGTGTGATTGGGTACATTCAAACATGTCTAACAGATTCAACAGCAAGGAATCCACCACATAGTGTGTAGTCTTCTCCACCTATCTACTACTTGGTGGTCTATATGTGTTGCCAGTCTCAGACATATACAGAGAGTTTATGAGGATGTTGTTTGAAACACAGCACAGTCTTTAAATTATATGCCGAGTTTTGTAATGTAAAAGAGTACTCAAGAAGGCTGCTTGAGAGTGTCTCATGTGCATGCCATGATTACAGTGGAAATGTAGAGCAGTAGAGATGCTGATGAAGGAAAATTGCCAATCCATCTTTCGAGAGGTTGCAGCAAAGATTAACATGAGTGTTAAATCCCAAACCATCATTTTGCATTGATTAAATCACTGGAAGGTACAGTCTGAATGAGTGGAGATGCATCTAACAGACCCCCTCCAAAAAAGAATGATTTTGAGAACTCTCCTATAAAACCACAAACTTTTACACTGGCATTTTTGTACCAAATATACTATATTGATCTAAACTGTATATAATATATGTACTACATTGTTATTATTAAATGCACCCATGAACTTTAATAGTATAGCTCAAACACCATCAGTACAAGGTGTCATCCTATAAAAAGGTTTATGAGTTCATAAGTAAACAAGTGTACCTGTTACTGCTAGGAAAATAAATGCATGAAATAAGTTTAATGAGGCTCAGTATTGCATAATGTTTGATGCCCAATCATTCGTTCACTCTATCCACGAGATTTTTTTTAGCAATGCAGCAGTGAGTGATTTGTACATGAAGACATGGGAGGGTGAAACATCTATCCTAGCTTGCGTAGCTAAAAAAATTGCAGCTGGACATGAATGTTAATCAGTCATGATTGAGATTATTGATGATTTCAGTATGTTGGTGTTGTCAAAGGGCCTTGTTAAAATACTGTAATTTCGGACTTCACCAACATATATTTCTTTATTGTTGTCTGTTGCATTAGATGAGTGTAAGATGATTGTGGTGCTGTTACTTAGTGATAATTTTGGCTTATACATTATTGGCCTTTTAAAAATTTTATTATATTAACATTAATGAGAAATCTGCAAATGTTTGTTGAACTGAACAGTTGGTTGGAGACGTACATTTGTATGTCTCCAACCAACTGTTCACTATATTCATGTGCATCCAACCAAAGATAATGATAATGAATTTTTGGTGTGGAAATCACTAAGTAAGTAAAAATGCTTAATTTTCGTGAACTTTAAATATGAATAATTTAATAACACATAATTAGTTTACATTATAACATAATTTAATAACAATTCACATGAATACGTAGAACCCAAACAAGAGTAGATATATTTAATACATTTGATATTTAGATACTTTTTTTGTATTTCCTGGCTTTAGAAGTTAGATGAGTTTGTTGAATTATAATTTCATTTTCTACTGCTTTTCTTCTTCTTCTTCTTCTTCTTTTTTTTTTTTTTTTTTTTTTTTCAGTGTTAAAATTGTCAGAAATTTTTGTGGCTATATGTTTTATATTTCAATCCTTTTTAGCAGGAAAAGTCAGATACTGCACAATAACTTTTTTCAAAATTATGAAATCTGACCATCAAAGTTTTCAGTCACCTTTTTAATTTCTGCATCGTATTTTTCAATGTTATACTTCTTTTAGATTTTTGTAGGTAATCAGATGTATATTTAGAAAGTGATTCAAGTTTTGTTGAAGCTTTTTTATTATTGCAAGGCAAATTGTCTAGATCAGCTATGATACTGAAGTGTCATGTTTTTATTAGTCATGACTAAGTGTTTGTATGTTGAAATTGTCTCAAGTCAGCTGTGATCTACCCAAAATCATTTTGTGATCAACTGGTTGACTATTTCGTATATATATAGTATCCTTTAGGAGAGGAATTGACTGGATCTGGCATTCTCAACCAGGGAAGAATTCTTCGTATATATATTATCTGGCGTATATATATATTCTCAACCAGGGAAGAATTCTTCTGTGAGAGAATTTCATAGTTTCAGAAGTGTGGAAGGGAAATGCTGGCAGCTTTTTATTTACCTGTTCAATATTTGGTTTATGAATATATATATATATAAACTAACACATGCAAAAATAATATGAATTTAAATAAATGTATATATTGTTTAAGTTTTGAAAAGGAAGGTTGAGGATGAATGTCTAGCAGTGGTGAAAGGGATAAATGTGGCAAAACGGGGTTGAGAACCACTGAACTAGATGATACCATAACTAAAGTACTTACTACTAACTAAACATATTAGCACTGAGGGAGAAAAACTTACTAAAAACCAACGCTGAGATCACCTTCTTGTCTTCTATCACAGTAACCAGTTTCAAATCATCTATTACTAAAAAATGTATTTATCATATATAATTGGTATTATTCATGTATTCATAGCTTTACTAAGAATATGCAATTTATTTTTACTCTCTTCTGCAGGCAGAAAATTTAATTTTTCTTTTATTTTTTGAATGTATAATTTGGAATTTTCTTTTAGTATTTAAAATATATACCATATCTGACGGCATATAAGATGCACATTTTTTTCCTAAATTTGGTCTGGAAAAAGTTACCTGCGTCTTATATGTGAAGGACACAGTTTAACTTTCAATACTAAATGCTATTTTTAGTCTGGATAAAGGTCTAGACACACATAACTTTTTCTACATCTACATGTGTGTGGTCTTCTAAATAAGGGTGCGTCTTATATGCCATCAAATACGGTATATATATATATAAAGGCTTTTATTTATTTATTTTATTTATTGTTCTCTTTTCAGAAAAGACAAGCCGCCAGTTGTAGAAGCAGTTTTATCTGGGCTTGTTGATAGCCCTGACTACTGTATGGATTTTCCGAAGAGAGGAATATGTTATATTTTCAATCATAAAGTAAGTTTGCTATATGATTGTACTGATATTCTCTTGTTCTCAATATTTAAAAATTCTCAGAATATAAATTTAAAAAATTATTTTTTTTTCTACAAATTTAGTGGAAGTTAATTACAGTAAAAGTTCTACTATTCCAGAAAGCTTGGGAAATAGCAATTGCTGGATAAGTGAAAATTCGTGATCTCTGAATATAAAAACTATGATTCAAGGTAGAAGAAACAAATTAATCACATAGGAAATTATCAGTTTTAAATTATAAAGAGCCATCTTATTTTTATCAACTTGAATATCAAATGCCTACATCTAAAATTATGTAATATTCTGAGGAACAAATGCATTTCAGGCATAAAATCCAATGTATTTCACAAGTTTTTAAAAGTGTGAAAGTTAAATTATTTTATCCGAATACAAAAATCCTATTAAACCATGAAAATTGGCAGAGATAACACGGAACTTGTGCTAGTGATTTTTGTTAAAGTTTAAGAGAGCAGATTATTCTTTCTTTCTTTAGATAATTAACAGATGCAATTGGCAGATGTAGAATGTAAGAAACTGATAATGTTTATCATAATTTTTATTCCATATTGTCATTATCTGATTTCAAATAAAATCACATACTGAGCATATTAATATGCACTTTTCTCGACTTCAGGATTCTTAACTTTAAAAATATTATATGAACTTTGAAACTTTGAACTTTGTAAAATTATTTGGGATCACAAGACTTCTCTATAGACAGAAGGGATATTAATTATTAAACAAAATACAAACTGTTTTAAATTTATGTAATTTAATTTTTACACTTCGTTAAAAATATAGCTTAAGCATAATATATTGAGCAATTTTAGATTTGCTTGTTACAAATACTCCTCAAAGTGTAGCTATTGATACCAGCGGCTTTCATACCCTTGCTTGGGTTTGAGCCCATTTGGGGCAAACCAGTACGAATTGTCAGAGGTTCTCTATCCGTCTATGCTATCGCAAATTTGGCCAAAACAGCGATTTCACCCCACATCTGGCCACCTATCTTGTGCCATTTTCTCTTTTGCCCGCCCCAAAGTTTATGTTCCCGTCTTCTTACCCCCTTTTCTTGCCTTTTCTACCCCCACCCGCTCCTCTACACTGTTGCCGATCTCTTCCCTTGACCTTCCAAAGTCACGTATATTCACTGCCGAGCCAGTTTTATTGAATACAATAGATGTACCACTGTAGTATCCAATGTTCTGATTTTTGAAGATGGTTCCCTTTTTGCACTATTGAGTTTATTGTGACACATTCTCATAACTATGTATGGTAACTTTAGACATTTTAATACCAGTATAATGTTCTTGTTCTATGCTATATTCCTGCTTGTATAACAACGCTGTAGTCTGCTACTCAATATTAACTATAGTAATTATTAAATGAGAGTTGTATGGTTTGCCTAGAAAGATACTGATTAACGCTATAGTCCTTTCGACGCGTGTCACTATACACAATTTCTCTACTCCTAGCATGCAGCCCGCTCTTGTCTTCTACCCTCTGATGCTGCCTAGACCGTCGGCCCCCTGTTAAATGGTCTACAATCTTGCTGTAGTGCTCCTTAAATCTATGAGACCCGGCTGGAGTGACCACCCCACTCCACAATGCATCGTCTGAGAATGTGTGTCAGCCAGGTAAAGTTCACACTTCTCTCCTTATCTTGATGCTTTCATTATGTTTTCTTTATGTTGCTATTATGTCACAATGTGTGGATTCACATCTGGTTTTATTTTTTTCTTTCTCCTAACAGTCTCCTGCGTCAGATGGTGATATCAGCTGCTACACTGATCTCGAGTCACTATACTACATAGCTACACTTCATTTTCCACTACACCACTGTGTACTGCCCCAAGAGCAAGTATGCCATTCTATTGTTATAAAGTCCCCCTTCCCACAACCCATTTTTATATAGTATATCATTCGTTGGCCACTTATGCAGGTATTTCTTGCGTATCTATGACACACACTATGAATACCAGCCTTCAAGATTTGCTTACTAAGACTTTCTGACAGAGGCATTATGGGTTGCTAAGCCATGCTGTTGACCCCCGATAAAAATTATGAGCGATGCTGCCATATGCATTGTGCGCCTTTTTAGTACAGCAGTAGATAGAGGGGGAGACAAACACGGTGTCACGTAATGCAATATAGATATCTATTTTGTACAGATTTGTTAATAACCGAATTGTGCGCTTGTTAATGATTGTACTCGGAGAATTAGCGCGTATTAATGTCTACCAACCCTCACGTCAATGTCTGTGCAGCTGTTTATGTTAGCCATAGTTCGTCAAATTTCCTGACATGATTGTTTGCAATGCCTCAGTGCCATATTAAAAATAAAACCCTCTAAAGAATCAACATCTGGTTCCATAAACCTTTCACCTGACGTGATAGTATAAGACCATAGTTGTTTTGCTTTTATTTGTGTTTGCAAAGGGTTGAAGGACTGGCGCCCACTTTACGCCAACGATCAATGTCTTTCACGACTTCCCCATTACTGTTAACATGATGAACATTTTATGTGAGTCATCTTATTTTCCTTCAGTATATTATTGTAAATAGACTATTTTCAAGCGCTCAAGTAACATATCGGTACTGTTTCGACCTGGTCACTTATTAGCCCTGATCTTATGTTGGCTATTGCTTTGGCCTCAACATATGTGCTTACAGAAGGATGAGTATTTTTTGGAGATATCTATAAGATCATACTACTTTTTGAGTCCTTCTACCTCACCTGTCGGACGTTCTTGAGCGACCTGGGGATACGTCTTGATAGCAGAGGTAAGTGTTTGATGCAGTATTTCGCATGATCATTGCAGCTATCCATTTATACTATACAAGAGTAATCAGATGTTTTATTTTATACTTTATGTGTGACCCTACACATGCTTCAGTTTTCACTATGCAATTTGTAGTATTCTGATCTATCGATTTGGACTATAAAATGGTAATTGTCTTTTTGCTATGATTTTAAACATCAGGAATTGTGTACTGCTCAGCGCTGGTTTTAACCTGTTGCTGCGGACAATGGCCTATAGCTGGCGCATTGCCCAGAGTCGTTCCCGATGATTGTCGCTTTGCCGCGAACTTGGAGTTACCGATGTCCCACCCTAGCTTTGTTATCGGATTGCCTCTAACTCTATCGAGTACTTCCGTCCGTCCGCTACAGCAGTTGACTAGACAGCACTTAGAACACCGGGATATTTGTATATATGCTTACAGTTTGCAGCTGTTACTACCACGACCGATTGTCCGTCGTTAGATGCTGCTGTAGCCTGACTCCACTTGACCTGTAACATGTATGCACACTGTTCCCCATCTGCGCGTCCCCCTGTATCGCCTAGCCTTCATCGCGAGCCATGACTGAGAATTATTACTGTCGCAGTGTCCGAGATAACTCACGCTTCCCTTCGTGTCTACGTTATCTTGTTTTTTTTTTTGTTTTGATTTTGTTACATTTTAAAGTCCCCGTTAGCGTTTAGCGTCTATAGTGTTGTAGCTTCATTTATCACTGTCAGTTCACGGTTTCTCGTTTTACTTTATTAGAGGTGATTTTGTCCATCTGTCTACTGCTATACTCTACCAAGTAAATACTGTTTTCCAGTGTTCAATAACTTTATTCTATGTGGCATGTTATTTTGATCCTTTACTCACCTGCAACATAGACAAATGCCCGCTTTCAATCACAAGCATCACACTCCGCACAATCGAACATGACTCTAACACTCATGACTTTTCCTGGCATGTGAATGACCTTTGCTCTAGTATGTCTACTTTAGTATCCATATTCACCGCTTGAAAGAAGATATTAATCGGTCCTGCCGCACCTTCAAGTGAATTTTTACCTCCAAATGTGTCTCTTACTTAGGGACCAGTACATGCTTTGTAGGGATATTCGCGTCCCTTTGACTCCTCCTGCAGTTTCCGTCTAGTGATTTTGTATTGCGTAGATTTGTCGTAATTTCTGCGAGAGCTCTACTTCTTATACTTTGGTATGCTGCGCTATTGTTAATCTGCGTATCGATATTATCCGATGAATCGTTCATTTAAAAAATCCTCTTATGCCATTTTAGAGATGACCACCTCCCGGACCCTTAATCTTGCTTCTCGTCCTGTGACAAACGGACATGTCCGAGTGGCAATCTCGGTAGTAGTCTGCTTGTCTAGTTTAATGTACAGCACGGGGGGAATCAATGAGATCCATTATACTTTCTCTGTTAGATGTCTAATGATGACATTATACACACAACCAAGAGCTCAGGACGTTTGTCATGTTAAAGAATAATTGGTCCGTTACGAATTGTGTAGTGACACGTATTGATTTACCTCTTTTCCATGCGTAGGCAGCGCACTCTCACTCGGACTGAAATCTGACAGCTGTAGCGGTAGAAATGATAGATAAGGATGTACACTTTAATTATTATCAGAAGAAGTTGATCAGGGAATGGACTGTAGAATTGCTAGCGATTGCATCGTTTATAGTATGTGCTGACATTGAAAAGGTGTTCAAATAAATTAATCAAGACACCGTATTTATATACTTTTGCGATGTATACATTGCAATAATTCTAAACTGTTGTACTAGTACAAACATCCACAGTCCTTTACAGGCACCTTACTACCATCCGGTCAGCTTACGTAGAGTCTGTTTTTCGACACATATCAGTATGGTCGTGCCCCCCTTTCAATTCCTGTACCGCGTATTGTTCACGGATTACTCTGTAGCACGTCATGCAGTTCTAAAGTCTGCCGCCCCGCGTAACATCGGCATGTCTAGGCCCCCCCAGATTTACACTAGAATTACATATAATTCAGTGAACACCACCGTATACTTCTCATGATCCATATCACGATATCATTATTATGCGATCTCATAAGTGGATACTGATCGCGAAATTTACGAACATGACGCACAGAAGCCGTTTACTTCTAGTTTCTTTGTTTTCTTAATAATTAGGATCCCCTAACTATTTCAGCCTTCAACTGTATAATGCTGCTTGGTTTCAGTGATATAGTGCATTTCATCTATTAATTCTTTATGTGAAACGACTCTGTAGTTTCTTCGTTTAGTTATCACAAGCTCTCTTATGACGTTCTTTAGTCTCCTCAGTGCAATTAAGCTGTCGTGCGGACTTATCGATTAATTTGTCAATCGAATATCGTGTATGTCGTTGTCCTCTTAAGCGTATGTAACCTCTAGAGGTACTTTCTAGCACACTTATCCCATGAAAGCGACCAGCTTATACATGTTCGCCCAGCGAACTTGATTTTACTCTGCATCTTTTCATACGACCGCGATGGATTGAATACTACGACTGTCTGTACCCGCGTAGATCTTAACACCCCGACTCACATAGTAACCTTACATAATCAGCAAGTCCTGCTGTTTTGAAGATCAGAGCCTGAGTTTACGTGTGCTGTTCCACTCTGCATCATTTGGAATCTCCAGGGAGAGTCGGGGACAGCGCGCTTCCTCTTATATCTTCGTCAGCTTCGCTAGAATAATTCTGATCGAACTGTACACATATTTACCGATAATCTTACTCTATCACTCTTGATTACTTGTGTATTTCTAAACCAACATTTCGTGGCATTCTTTTGTATGGTTGCGAATTGAACGCAAATTGACATCATTACTTGTAACATATAGTTCATCACCGCTGTTTAATGCCAATAGGTCATTCATGGTATTCCCAAATTTCGTTCACTTGACTTGCCATACTCGTTCTAATCTATCCATAATCTATATAATGACGTTTCTGCCCCCCCCCCCTGCCGAGAGCAGCGTGAAAATGATAAAAAGATTCGGATTAAAAACATACTTTCGCTTTGTAGTAAATATATATCGGAAATTCATTTGACATAATCGAAAGTTCAAGCTTACTTTTATAAAATTGCTCTAACAGTCTGCAAAAAATAATAAGCCGGATCCAATTCGAAGATTAAGGAACAACGCAATCTGCAACATTAACTGAATTAGATAACTTTAGCTTAGCGTATAACTCCGTTACACATTAAACACACATGCGCACAAACATATTCGCAGCTGTAAGGGTCTTATGCGCTCTAGTAAACGCCTGTGCGCATGCGTAAACGCGACGCATGCGCAGAAAGTTTGTAGCTTTGAGGTCCGGATTATAGATCATTCCGGATTATGGGTGTCCGAATTAACGACTTTTGACTGTAATTGATTTGGTACATAAATTTGTGAAAAGAAAATACCTGAAGGTTTTTCCTGTAAGACATTTGATGTATACAGGAAATATATCATGTCTATATCTATAAATAACTTAATTTTTGGAACTACTTATCTGACCAGATATAAACAGAGAATGCAGTTGTATTTGTACTTTTTAAAATAAAGTTAATTTATCTTCATTTCTGCTTAAGCTTCATTTCTGCTTGGTTCGCTGCCAAAGCTGAAATGATAAATCTGTACTCATGCACCAAGATCTTACATGCACTTTTATGCTTTTTGTTGTTTTATTATTTAAATATGGATATGACCGTGTACATTAAACAGCAAGTAATATCACACGAGTATACTCATAATTGGCATATGATATAATGGTTTTATCTCTTGTGCCAGATAACAAGATAACTCGGAACTAGATAAACAATACTAGCCTCATTTTACACTTTCACACAAAACTCCTGTACGTGCAATGCATTATTTTCCATGAGTTATACACAAGTCACTTAATAAGAATTTGAACAGACCATTTATAGAATTTCCCAAATAAATGACAAGTAATACAGTCAAAAGTCGTTAATCCGGACTCGTCGGGACTTCGGCGATTCCGGATTATCGATTTTTCTGGATTATAGATCATCAGTTTAAATCTGGTAAGATAGCATGCAGAAATTATAAAATTAAAAATATGAAACCGTAAATTATGAAATAAAGAACAATTATGATCTAAAGGGTATGAAAATTTACAAAAAAAAAAAAAAAAAAAAAAAAAAAAACTTAATATTTGTTTACTTGATTAAACATTTCTTTCAATGTAACTCGTTTAAGTTGCTTCGTTTTAATGTGATAATACATTCTCTTTAATCCTATAAACAGACATAAATTCTTGTTCAGTTACAAAGTTCCGCTGTTCAAGTCCTATAATTGCTGTGTGGAGAATACCGACTAATTTGTCAATCGAAATTTTTTCGTTTTCAATAACCTCTGTCACTTTCTTCGCTATTGGAAGCGAAGTATAATGACAAGAAATTTGATTTAAATCATATCAAAGACGGAGTACATCGAGATGAAATACTACATTTAGTAAGGAATTATAAGTCAAATAAAATAAAAACATCTGCCCTGAAGATAAAGATAGTGCTGACAGATCAACTTCCAATTCATTGCGCGCCGCGGCATTAAAGATAAACAAAGTTTAGATAAGCAAAAAAATATGCCTTTATCCATTTTTTGCAGCAATTCCACTTTTTGTTTAATGCACTTCGAAACATACTTTCGCTTTGTGGATCTTTTACATATTAGTAAATATATATCAGAAATTCTATTTGACATAATGGAAAGTTCAAGCTTACTTTTATAAAATTGCTCTAACAGTCTGCAAAAAATAAAAAGCCGAATCCAATTCGAAGATTAAGGAACAACGCAATTTGCAACATTAACTGAATTAGATAATTTTAGCTTAGCTTATACCGTCCGTTACACATTAAACGCACATTCGTAAACGTATTTTGTGCACGCGCACATGCATATTCGCAGCCGTAAAGGTCTTGTGCGCATGCGTCAACGCCATGCATGTGCAGAAAGTTTGTAGCTTTGAAGTCCGGATTATGGGTGTCCGAATTAACAGCTTTTGACTGTAATAAATAAATGGATTTGAGTTCCTAAATATTTGATTATTTTATCACATTTTGAGAAATAAATGATTTGTTTCAGTTTGCCAAGTGTATTATTTAGACCCATCCTGTATGCCGAAAACATAAGCACTGCATGCATTTGCTTTGACAACACTCATACTGAGTGAATTAACTAAGGCAATCAATAACGAGTTATAGCTATCAAGTAAACTCAGTTTACTAACTATGAGTTTTCTTATAGATGGCAGAAAACATATTTAAAGACAATAGTATATTATACAAGACCATAGAACTTTTTAGAGCTTGTTTACAAGGCAGAATACAGATAAAAGTTTACTGTAAGTGTCAAATATTTTAAGTGTTATAATATAGCAAAAAGGAACCATTTGTAATTGTATGAGTTGAAGGCTGTAAGGAAGCATTTTAAGTTCAAGTGAAGAGATTCGTCAACATTTTATAGTGATAATGTTGTTAGAAAAGTCCAGCCATGGTAAGATAGCTTTCCCTCAAAAGTTTAGGGCTGTCATAAAATGGCAAAGAGAGATAGGGTTGCCATATGTGGTGTGAAATCGCCTGTTTGGCGACAAAATTGGCGATATGCCATAGACGGATAGAGAACCTTCTGGAACAAATTCTTACTGGTTTGCCCCAGAATGTTCTCAAACCCAAGCCAAAAGTTATATGAATCCTGCTGGTATGCAGAGTAGGAGTGGAATGAGACAGTATTATTGAGTTGATAGTCAGTCTGGTGTCGAGTGGGTGCATCTCGAGAGTGTGCATTGTTGAGGCTATTGTCAAGTGCATTGCGAAGTGTAATGTTGAGACTCTCGAGAGTATATAGAGTTCCAAGAACAACTGAACCGAGTTGTGCTTTGCCATGAAGCTCTCTTCATGGTTATAGCATGAAGCCTGTGTTGCTGATTGTTTTGGCATGTTTTTATCGTACTTTTTCGACGACTGAGTAATACTGGCAAGTAAATAGTGTTTTAATACTTCATCAACTGTTGTCACAGATCACTCCAAATCGCATGAACCCTGTACAAGAACACAACAACTGGTGTCAGAAGTGGGATTTGCTAGTGATTACCAGGAAAGCCAGTTACCAGCGTGCAGGAGAAAGCCATGGTGGAGGAAATGAAATTGACAGATTTCTTAGCAGCTGTAAAAGCCAGACTAGAAGAGATGAAGGCTGAGATCAAAACCAAATAGGATGAAATAAAAGCTGGATATGAAGAGATGAGGGCTGAGACGGAAGCCAGACCAGAAGAGATAAAAGCCAGGCAAGAAATAAAAGATGGCCAAGAAAAGCTACAAGTGCAACTTCAGCAGATGAATATAGAAGATATGCTTAGAGAAGAAATTGGAGCCATAGAAGATCATGATAGAAGTGGCATCTGAAGCTGGTGAAGTGTCTGAGAAAGATCAAGAAATGATGTATAAAACATCTGACTGGATTAAAGGAGAATGAAAACAGGAAAAAATAAAAGACTTGAAGGAAGCATTTGATTCTCAAGTGTCTTAAATAGAAGTGGAAGAAAGTGAAAATGCAATTGTTCAGTTTGTAGAAACTGATAGTGAAGTTATGAAGTCGCAGTTAGTAAGCATTGAACCATCTGAAAATTCTTGTGATGCAGAGATGGGAGAAGCTGATGTACAATGTACGCAGAGTGTTACAGAATTGCAAGAAAATACATCCTCTTCATAAACTGTGTGTCTCATAGTGCAAATTGTGCAGACACTAACATGATTTTGATTCTAAACCAGGATACCTTTGTTTGTAAAGAATCAGATTCTATTCATAACTCTGATACAAACACCAGAACTGGCTTTCAGGAAATAGAGGTAAATAAGCATGTACCAACTGCTAAAAGTACCGAGGTGAATTGTACACATGATGCAAATAAACTGCAGAGCAGTGAACAAACTGCTTCAGATCTACTTGTAGATGAAGGGTTTGAAAGGACTGAATCTTCAGACTGTGATGTGCAAAACAGAAATACATCTGAGAATTGCAGTAAAAACGTATTTGACCCGGGTATAATGCAATAAAAAGCTTGAGACTGTGATTCATTCTGAACTTTATATATTTTAAAACTGTTATGTGGTTAATTTATCTACATAACTTCTACATAGTGTACATATTTGTTTCTTTAGCTATGTTCTTACCTTTTGAACTTAGCTTCTGACCAAGGATTGTACTGCCCGGGACGTGCTGTTCTGAGCAGGGGCAAAGGGGGTAGTGTTATGAAATCTTCAGCCGCAGTAACATAGCTTCCCTGCAAAGAAGGTTTAGGGCTGTCATAAAATGACAAGGAGAGATAGGGTTGCCAGATTTGGCACAAAATTGCCCATTTGGCCACAGAATTGACGATATGCCATAGACGGATGGAGAACCTTCTGGAACGAATTCTTACCGGTTTGGCCCAGAAAGTTCTTGAATCCGAGCCAAAAGCTATATAAACTCTGCTGGTGCATGGAATAGGAGTCGAACGAGAGAGTCTAGTCAATTGGGAGTCTATTGAGTGTCTTGTAGTATATCGAGTAGATCGTCAGTTTGGTGTCGAGTGGGTGCATTGTAAAGACTATTGTTGAGTGCATCGTGAGTTGTAGTGTAGAGAGTCTCGATAGTACGTAGAGTTCCAAGAATGACCGAATCAAGTCGGGAGCTGTACTCTGGTGCTTTACCATGAAGCTGTCTCCGCCGTTATAGCCTGAAACCTGTGTTGCTGATCATTTCAGAGTGTTTGTCATAGTTTTTCAATGACTGTAAATGTGTTTTTGAAGCTGTCCTAGTAATTCTGGCAAATAGTGTTTTGATACTTCATCAACTGTTGTCGTCAGTCACTCTAAATTGCACAAACCCCGTACAAGAATGCAACAATATATTATGACTGTAACTCAAGAAGTTTTACATAATAAGATACAATATGATTTCAAGTTAATGGCACTACAATGGGTTGGTACAAACTATCCCCACTGAGGAATTCAGTTTAGGAAGCTGCTGAGAGGATGCATTATCAAGTACTGCGAAATCATCAACTGCTCCCTTATATGATCGAATACATTGGGTACCAAACTGATGGAATGCAGTTCATGTTTATGTTTGACTAGTGTCTTTAAAGGTACTAGCATTGATGAACTGGAAAGCAATTTGATTCTGTATTCCTTTCTTTGTGATTACTACCCTTTTCAGACCTGGTAATCACATTCTTGCATCACTAATGGCACAAAAGTACAAAAGGCTGCTCATTTAAACATTTCTAAAAAGGACTTTAAAACAAATAGGAGTTGGTGTAGAAGAATGAGGGAACACAAGGTTTATCACTGCAATAGCAGACAACTTGCGAGCAATCATCTGTAATTCTAGTAATCATTCGGCATCCAGACCTACGTCTTCTACAGAGGTTTTGACCCTTTGGTAATGATTCCACAGCCTGTTGGAAGGCACATTTAGCACTCTCGCAGCAGCAGATGATGTCTTCAGCTCATGCTTTCCATTTTGGCTATCTCGAATTACACAGAACTATTGCTGTTTTCAAACTGACACTTAGGTCTGGCATTGTGTTTTATGCTAATTTTGGTTGCTTATTTGCATTTGGCGATGCAACCGCTACCTCATATGTAAATTGTATGCTTTAATTTCCCTTTTTACATTTGTACCTTTTCTTTTAGCATTTGTTGCTTATTTTTTTAGCACAGAAGGGTAAAGAAGATGAGAAAGTTTGAAATGATGAGGTTAGAAATCAATATGATTTTCTGAAATTCTCTTATCTGTCTAGAATATGAAGAAATTCAGGTCTGTTTCTGAAATTTTACGCTTTATTTTGTAAATTGTAGTTATTTAGGAAATCTCAGAAAATTTATCATTATAGCATGTTATGTTATGCTTGCCATGAATAAAAAATTGAGCTGCGTTACTTTTTCTGTTTTGTTATATAATAGCAAAAATTTAAACTTGAATATATTTTACGGTTATATTAATTTTAATAATTTATGTTAACCTTCCAATGCGCGCAGTGTACGACAAATTCCATTTTTATGCACTTTTTTCACATATCACTGTTGGAACGTCTGAAGGTAATTTCTATTCCCTCTTTCAACCCTTCCCCACATCATGCGATGTGTCAACAGGAAGTCGCATGACAATTTTTAACAAAGTTTTGGCACTACATAGTAGCTTGTCTGTAAAAGTTATTACGTACAAACACACACACATGGAAGTGGGTTAAAATTTGGAAAATATTTTGTTCTCCAGTGTTTTATAATTTTGTGTTATGAATTGACATGTATCATTTTAATATTTATGTAGTCGAACCTGTAATTTTTGTATCAGTTTTCATGGCAAAAAATATGTGCAATCAGCTGATTTTGCTCGCATTCTTCAAGAATTATCGGATGAAGAGGAAAAAAAAAAGAAACGTTTGCATGTGAGAACAATAGCGATTTAAGTGAAGAAAATATAAAAATAAATTATACCAGTAATGAATCTGAACAATACATTTTGGATTATGATGATAATAATGATACAGAAGAAAGAAAGGATGATGACATGTTCTATGTTGCTAAGGACAAATCTTCTAAGTGGTGGAAATTTGTTGTGGAGCACAACCTAGTGGTTGTTACACTGTTCCAAACAATCCTATGGATATTGCAAAAAGGTTGGTATCTCCATTTGAAAACTCATGTAGCAAAGGATGTCTTGTAACAAAGGATAATTACTACACAAGCATCCTACTTGCAGATCATTTTCTGCAAAAGAAATTGAATCTTGTTGAAACATTGAAAAAACATAAATAGAAGTGCCACAGGAATTTTTGCCAAATAAGAGACAGATGGTGGGAGCAGCAGTATTTGGTTTCCAGCAGGATAATGTCCTCGTTTCTTATGTTCCTGATAGAAACAAAACTGTGTTTCTCCTTTCAACTATGCATGGTGATACCGACATTCATACAATAGCAAATAAACCTGAAATAATCATGGATTACAATGCGACGAAGGGAAGCATGGACACTATCAATTGATTGTGTGCAACCTATTCAATTTCAAGAATCGCAAGAAAATGGTCTTGTGCTATATTTTTCACTCTTCTGAATATTGCTGGGATAAATTCCAAGGTTTTGCACATGCTTACAAAGCGAGCCAACACCGCACCATGCCGAAGGTTGAATTCTCTGAAGAATTTCTCTTAGTCTTATGAAAGAGTGTCTTTTTTCGCATGCCAAAATCCAAACTTTACTTTTTGACTTTTCAACCTAATGATGAAGTGCCATAGCAGTCCTCATCGAAGCAAGGAACATGCAGTTTATGTGTCAGAGAAGGAAAGAGATCCTCAGCATTTATGAAATGCAAGACATGGCTTAGAAACACATGCAAATGTCATACAATTACTGAAATTATGTGCATGGAATGCACTGTAAACTTCGAACATTGAGAAATCTCTTTTAGAATTATATTTTTCTATTTTTACTCTACTCCGTTCTATTTCTAGTATTATTATGCATCTTTATTTTCTTTTCTTTCTACTTATTTTTAGAAATAATTAAAACTATTAAAATTAAGTCAGTTTACAATTAGTTTTGGTAATCAGCCATTTATTTTCCTGACTTGTTTCATACAAGTAAATTTCCATGTGGAAGTAAGTAATGCTAAACTTACATTTTTTACTGCCTAAGTGAGTGTATTTTCCTCTTTTATTTGTCTGTACTTTCCTTTGATGAATATTAAAACTAGCTTGTATTTTAAAATATGTTATTAAATAATAAATTCTAAATTGTCTATAATAAAATACATCATTGCCTCTACCTGACTAACATAACCCTTTAAAAATAATTTACTTTCATTTGAATGTGACATCGTTTGTATTTTGCAATAATAATGTCAATATTTTACTTCTTAATGAACTTATTTTCAATATCCATTCATTGCTTTCATTTTTCATGCCCCAAATGGTAAAATAACAGCTGTCAAAAAATATGACACACACGCGCACGTGTGAAATTACTGAGTGCACATGTTGAAAGGTTAATTTTGTTTAAATTTTTTGTACTACACGTAATGCTTAACTGAATGTTACAATTTTTAAAAAGCATCATTAATATTTTACATTAAATTGAAATTGTACAAGAAAAATAATCTCAGGGTAATATTTATACATTAATTTGATGAATTAAATGTAATTTTAATCTAGATTTAGTAGGTAAATTATGCTTCTTTGTTTATATAGGTATAGTAAATAAAATCTTAGAATTTTATGTTTGTTGTGTGTTTGTTCTCATTTTTTATTTGCTGTGCTGTTAAAATTAATTATTTAGTAGTAATATTTTAAAGTTTGTGTTGATGTATGATTTGAAAATTTTGAATCAAGTGTTTTTTATAATCATGCTTGATGTGTTCATCATATGACACATTTTTTTTAAAATTATAGTTGGTAAAGAAGATCATTCTAAAAATAGTTGCTTTGTTTGTTGTGTTCTGTCTCACGGAGAATCGGGAATACTCTATGGATCAGATGGGAAATATGAAACAGAACGTATATTTGCTCCTTTCAGAGGTGATGTTTGTCCTACTCTTGCTGGAAAGCCAAAAGTATTTTTCATTCAGGCAAGTATTTTAAATATTTATTAATTTCTTTAAAATTTCTTCATGTAAATAAATATTATGTATTCATTACTTTTTTATAAACATTGCTATGATGATACAAATCTTTCTAAAATAATTTAATTTTTATTTTTAGGCATGCCAAGGTGATAAGTTAGATCATGGAGTAAGTATGAAATGTCAGATAGCTACAGATTCTTCTAGCATACAAGAAGAAACATACAGGATTCCTACTCATGCTGATTTTCTCATTGTATACTCAACTGTTTCTGGTTAGTATTTTTTCACTTATCTTAATGTAGATAAATATTAATTTGAAAGTTCATGTTCAGTAAAGTAAATCATATATGTAAGTATTTTGAGATAATACTTCAATCCTCAAAAATGTGCAAGAAAAATGCATTATTATGACAAAAGTTTGAATAAAGATTTAAAAAATTTTAAACGATTTGGAGTAGTACGATTTTACATTATTTTGATTACCATTAAAAATGAATATGAATAACGCTTATCTAAAAATGAAGCTAATTATTTTACAGTGTGATTTTAATCTTATTAAAAATTTGACACAGATTTGATTAATTTTTATTCATACTTGTCAAAAGATAAATAACCTTAGTTGTGAAATTTTGAAATAAGAAGAATCACTTTGTTTGGTAAAAGATTTAGATGCAAACAGTCGCCCCCTTCTAGTCATTTTTCTCCGAGGCTGCACCTCGAAACACCATTGAGTGTCAAATTATAGTAATAAATTGAGAAGTTAATAATTATTTACATACAAAATAAATGTATTTTTTTATATGTGTCAAAGAAAAATTCAACAGAAAAGACAATAAGTTGTCATTATATATATTTGTCCCACTTGAAAACTTGGAAAATTGTGTTAAGTAAGTTATTTAGAGGTTAATTCAACATATGAGAATTATTTGTAATAAATGTCTTTCTGAAAGTTTGGTTCTTTTCCGTTTCGCCGGCGCAAATCTCACCAAGCAGACTTTATTGGCGACAACATATACACATAAAAAATATTAAAAATTGTTAGTTCTAAGAATTTTTAATTTTGATGGCATCAACAATTTAATATCGTTTAAAATTTTGTAAAAAGCCAATAAATAAAGGCAATAAATTTATAAAAAGATATTAATTTAAGAATTTACTATGTTATCATGGTTCAATATCCTGATTCGCCGGTTCATATTACGTGACCTCAAGTGATCTCATCTCGCGCAAACTACGCTACAGAAATCTAATTCTCTCGGTAGTTATCTACATTATTTCAAGTTAAATCTTAATTTGGAATACCAGTTTAAATGCAAGAATTATTTCAATTCGTTGGAATAGCTTACTCAGAAATTATGTAAAACCGCAGTGCTTGACTTCGCTAGTGCATTCTCATTAGAATTGATGAATTTAGCCCTTGACTTTGCCGTTTCTATATTTTCGGCTTCGGGTAAGCGGTGTCATAGCATACTTGACTTTATTACCACGAATGGCCTTAAGGCATAAAATTGAACTACCTGGTAAAAGTTCTTTGTAATTGTATGTAATTGTAAATGCTAGAATTCTATATAATTGTAAATGCTAGTATTGAAAGAAACAATCAATCTGATAAGAAACGGCTGCGACTTGTTTTGAAAATGAGGCGTAAAAGGTTACCATCGAGGATATTCCGTTTGGCATCAGTTGTACCATTACTGGCGACTTTAACGCCTGCCCCGGCAAAACGGAAAAGTACCGAAAGTTTAATATTTACATGTCAGTATGTTTGAATTACGAAGTGTAACCAACAGAAATTTCCTAAAGGTATCAATCAGCCTTTAGTTTTCAGATAGAAATTAAATACTGTAAATCTGAATTTTTTTTTCCTCTGTGTTACTGTTATTGCTCTTTATGCATATAATGATAAATATTTAGTGAATGAAATATAAAGTTTAGCTGAAAACTTTTTAATTTGTTGGGAAAAAAAAAAAAATTCCATTCCAGCTGCTTCAGTTTATGCATTCACTCTGCATGTAATTTGAGTCTTACTAAATTGTGCTGTACTATACCAATTAATGTGTCCTTCTTATTAGTTCACAGTAATTGAGATTTTTTGCAAGCAAGAATAATAATGGTGGGAAAATGTTTACTTTTTGCATTGGTTAATGTGATAAAATCTTCCTCTACTTTCAAAATATGTTAATTTTTTAATAGGTTTTTATTCATGGAGAAATACAACCAATGGCTCCTGGTTTATTCAAGCATTGTGTGCTGCTTTGCAAGCTCATGCTAAAGATATGGATTTGTTAGGACTATTAACAATTGTGAATCGAAAAGTAGCTTACGATTTTGAAAGTTTTACTCCACAAGATAATAGCATGCATTTGAAGAAACAAGTACCTTGTGTAACATCTACATTAACAAGAAATATTAAATTTTCATAAATTATTATACTTTGGGGATGGAGCTTAACTTGACATCTTATATGCTGCCAAGTTTTTGTTATTGTTTGATGCTTCTCTAAAAATACAGAATTTTAAAAATAACAATCTAATTAACTGTATATTTAAAATTCTGTGTGCTAACTGATCCACTAATTAATTAATTTTAATTAACCTTAAAATATTCCAAAATTTCAATTTTATTTGCCAGTTGATTTAATTAAAGATTGTTTATAAATACTCTTTATTGCTTCACAATTTGTATTATAGTTACCATAGTTATAAACATCTTCAAGTAATGAATAAATATTTAATAGGATCTGTAATTTTAAAATGAATGAAAAATAATACACCTGCATTAACTTCATTCATTTATAGTATCAATAATTTAACAAATATTCTCCAATCAGTTATGCTGCATACAAAATCAAAACAATAAATATTTAATATAAAATCTTTTAAACTTTTATATCTACCTTGAATTGGTGTGGTTATGAAATCAATTGAATGCTAATTTTTTGGGGGTTATCATAGTAGAGCAAGAATCCTCTATAGGTTTTGTACAAGATTTTGATCAAGTCAATTTTATGATCATTGTAAAAATTAATATTGTAATCTTTGAGCTAATTCATACTTCTTTTAGCAGTGTGGCATGGTGCAGCACTTCGTTAGAAGATGCATTGGTTTTAGGATTGGAAAATAAATTTTTTATTTAAATTAGTAGTTTTGGTTTTGGAATCTCACTTTTGATATCTAAGCATTTATTTAAACTTCTGTTCCTTGCACCAATATCTTTTTTGTTGTACATGTCTTATTATCACGCTGACTAGATACTTCATGGTAGTAGTCATACATTCTGGTAACAAATTTTCTCCTTGAACTAAGTACACATTTGATGCCATTAACTTTCAAATTTAGAAATAATATCTCATCACTACAAACTGCGTTCATCCGTATCATGTCTTAATGCTGTTTAGCCCACATAATTCTTTTCTCCCAATGTTTTTCACTAAATTAAAATTCTACTATATGTCTTTGGACATTTAAAGCATTTCTTCACTATTACTTTTGGACCATTATATTGGTAAAATTCACTTTGGGTGATCTCTAAAGCTCCTTTATATGTTTTTTATAAATTTTTGTAAGTGGATTTGTAAGACAATAGGGAAAATGTTTCCACCTTGTTAAATAAATTTAGGTTTTCTTCCAGTTCTAGGAGCAAATTTAGTACCCCATTCGGATAATTGGATTTTTTCCGAAGTCTATGTACACTTTAATTAATTTAATTAATTAATGTATGTTGAAAATGGAAGAAAAAAACTATTTTTAAAGAAAAAAGAGGTTTTAATAAATTAAAATGAAAGACCAGCACTTTTACATGTAGGTTATATAGTGTACTGTACAGTACACAGTGCTAAAAGTCTCGGTCTAAGTAAGCTGTTTGACTGTCTTCATCCATTTTCAAGCAGCCAAATCGCACATACTTGACAATGAGAAGTTGCATGTGGTCATACTTGGGCTGACGCTCCATCCATTTCAACACAGTTTGGCAAGGCCAGCAAATGCTTTACTTGCTGATGATTCCATGTCTGCTTCAACTTTTGACATTAAGGTCATCTTCTTCCTCAACATTTACTTCTTTCACACTTTCATTAAGTTCATGATCATTTAGAATTTGAAACCCAGGGTCTGACAAATCGCACACCATCAATGATGAATTATACACCATTTGCTCCTTTTAATGTCTGAAATCGTTGATTGTCCAACACTGTGTATCTCAGCCAACTGTTTACCCATAACTATTTTATCTGATTGCTGTATAATTTTTAATTTATCAACTAACAACAATACAACGTGTTTTTTTATTTTAGAAGCTGTGGTGAACGACAAAATGCACTTACAAATAAAACAACACACCAAATGTGAAGGAGTACAGTCACAGTGCTGTAGCTTGTCAACGACACACTGACTGAGTAGTAATCAAAACGAACAGTAACAGGTGGGCCAGGCCGGCCACCTGATGACAGACAACAATACTGTAACCAATAATAGAACTGCAGTATGAGATAGTGACTCATCATCCCGATAATGTTCACACTGCACCTATACTAGTTTTGTGGCGGGAAGGACAATAACACTCATAGACAGAATCGTTATTTTGCGATCCCCCGTACGTTTCCGTCATAATTTTTTTCTTAAATTCTGAAAGTGATTTGGATAATTGGAGTTGTACTGTACTCTTTTTTGATTTGTCCATACACTACCAGCAAACTGCAGTACCATCAAACAACTTTGTAGCTTTTTCTTTGTTCTAACATGCATTCTTTGCAGTTTGGCAAGTATTGCCCCCCCTTGTGCATACAACGTAAGATATGTACTTTTCCCCCGCGCATCCTCACAAATAGCCAATTTAAGCATGCTACAAATTCCACATGACATAAATCTTTAATTTATCTTTCAGACTGTAATTGCTAACAAATTTAGCAATTTAGAATTAACAGAGGCACTTAATTTAAATAATTATATTTTTTTATTATGTAAAATTAAATTCTATTTAATTTACTTTCAGTGATAATTTGTATGAACATTTGCAACATTATGATTGATGAAAGACATTTCTAGTGCCACACATTGTATACTTTAGCATAAGATCATTAAAGTTTTTATTATTAATAATTTATTTATTTATTTATTATTAGTTGATGGTGTAAATGCACATGCATTACAAATAAGGTACCTTATTCCCCTTTTTGACATTTGGTGTGTTGTTTTATTTGTAAGTGCATTTTGTCGTTCACCACAGCTTCTAAAATAAAAAACACCCCTTTTTGAAGAAGAAGATTTCAAGAGTATATAATTCCTATATCATATACTTTTGAAATGTATAAATTATTTTATTGTTTTTTTTAAATTAATGCTCTTGAATTTTATTTAGCTCCAAGGCTGAAAGTTTGCTGATGTTTAATATGCATTATTTCAATGTACTATTTTTAATTAACTTTTAATAGTTTTTTATATCACTATGTGTGATACTTTAGTGCAATGGTATTCACAAAATGTATGCCTTCAATGATTTTAAATGCTTCTTAAAATGCCTTAAATATTGTGATAATGATAAATAAGCAGAATACAAATTATTTTTGTATGATAATGCATGCTGAAATGACCATTAATTAGTTACAAGTTTAATATGTTAGCATTTGCTTAATTTTTTGTTTATTGTATTTATCAAAAATTTTGATAAATATAGCTTAAATGACTTTTTTTCCTTTGTACATTTTATAATCTATGTATTTGAATAAATGAAAATTGATTATATGTATGTATTTGATGAATATCTTATAATTTATTTATGTTTTATAATGTAACTTTGAACTAAAATTTGATTTGCTACATCAAGATGTGATACAAGTTATGATAATCGTACTAAACTAACCTGTATTTATTTTAAAAATCAATGATGCTATTTTAATTGTAAGTTTATTAAGCTGCCTTGAGTAATATGTTAATAGTAATGATTGTGTCTATTGAAGCTTTTATCAAGATCTCAATTTCTTTGTAATAATACAACATCCATTATTTATTTTACATTTAATATTTTAATATGATGTAATACTTGTTAAAAAAATTCCCTTTAATTTTCTATGTATATTATCTATCAGTATTAAATGTGTATATATATTATTTGTCTGTGATTTTTTTTCCCATGTTCAGTGCAGTATGATTCATGCAAAAAATTTTAATCTTTCTTTTTGGAAGTAAAAGGAGAATTTTTTTGCTTGCCCATTTCATTAGATATATAGATAGATAGATAGATACATTATATAATGTTTAAAAATAATATATATACAGTTTAAAAACTCTAAAATCCCAAACATGTTTTAAATTTTGAAAACACTCTTAATAATATGAATTCTAAATTAACAATTACAAATTAAATGTAATATGTGTTTGTTATTTGCTTTTTGGACACATTATTGATATAACAGTAAATTAAGAATTTTGGAGCATAATCATGAAAATGATTCACATAAATAAGGAGGCTCAGATCCCAGTTCTAAAGTTTCTTTTTTCGGTAGACATTAATTGAAAATAGTAGGATCTAAACTCATATGGACATTTGAGATTTTTGGAGTGAGAAATGTCAGTAATGAACTATGACCTTGCTGAATCTTAAACCATGGATGTTCTAATGCTAGCTGAACCAGGGCCGGATTTAGACTCGATAAGGCCCTAAGCTATTTGAGATATGGGGCCCTTTATAAGTCCACATATTATATGTCAGTGCCAAGTATGATTTCCGGATACCTAGAGGGTTTTTAGGGGGCTCTAATTCCAAATTATTGCAGTCCAAAATGCTTTTGTACTTTTATTTTATATATTCTTTATTTTTATTACCTCACATATTTTATGCTAGAAATTATACATCATATCTAAAAAGTTCTAATGCAGCCTTTATTTTTGCAGCCATTAACCCTCTGAGCATCCAGGGTTTTTGTTAAGAAAGCACAAATTTCCAAACCTACTAGGAGAACAATTTTTTTTTTATTTTAATGTAAAAACTCTCCTGGTATTTCATACTTGGATTTGTTTTCTTTTGATATATTGCCTTAATTTCTTTGTATTTTAATATGCATGTATATAAATGTTTTTACAGATATCGCAAAAAATAATTTAGGCCTTGCCGCCTAGAGGGTTAAGTTAAAAAACGTTTGAAATGATCCAAATATTTAAATTTTGACATTTCAAAATAAGAAAAGAATTGTGTAAAATTTATAAAATCTAAATTTTATAAATTCTCCAAGTCTGTATAGTTATATTTAATATGACTTCTTACAATTCTTATTATAAAAAAATAAAACCAAAAAAGTTTGATTTCTGTATGGCAAAAACTGACTGATACATTTAAGTTCAGAATTTGGATTTTTGCATTTTTTTTTGGCTTTCCTTGAGAGGGTTCATTAAAAATAAAACAGAATAATTCAAAGTTGTCCCTTTAATGTCATTCAGTGATATTCCTTCTTCTTCTCTTTTTTCTTTTTATTATTATTATTATTATGAATGTAAACCATTTTATAGTTTGTAGTTTTATTACATGTAGCATGCTCAAAATATTTTCATTTAAGATTTTGCACATTAAAAGTGAATTAACAATATTTAGATTATGAGGGGGTCATGTTGGAGAGGATCATATATGAGTCCTCTATAGTGTAACAACTATTTATTAACAGGTTTAAGTTACACACGGATATTACATTTAACTTTTAAGAACATTACAGAGCAAGAGTCTGAAACAACCTATCAGGTTAAACACTTGGCTTTTACTGAAGTACTTCTCTGGCTGCTCACCAGAGGGCACCTCGTTGTTACAGTTAGTCCAACAGTTTATATTAGCAGCAGGGTTTATATTAAAGGATTGGTTACAATGTGCAATTTTATTACATCAGAATCTTAGAGACATGCTAAAAAAATGGAATAGAAATATTCTTTGCATTTAATTTATGTACTTAATGTTATGTGGTGTCAATACTGAAATTTGCCATTATTTCATCATTTAGTCTATAAACAACAGAAACCTTTTTCTGAAGTGATATTTCATTTTTAGTCACATGCAAATTTAAATATTTAACTCTTCAATTTGTGTACAGTCTCTGAATTTTCAGAAAATATGATCTCAAATTAATTATCTCAGTCGATTTTTGTCATATCAGAGTCAAATATTTTGTGTTTCATTTTTAGAATGAGTATGAACTTTTAGTAAATGTAATTATATGAATCTGGAGGCCATGCAAACATTTGATTTTGTGATTCTTAATAATAAGTTTTAATTTAAAAATCTATAACATGAATATTTTCCGTATTTAAAATGAAATGTAATTGGAAGTAAATACCTACAATGAATGTTTATGAAAATGACCATTTTCATAACTATTCATCATAGATATTTACTATATGGAATGGTTATGAAAATGGCCTTTTATAAACACAATGTATATACCATTTTTTCATTAAAAACATAACTATCTTGTAAAATTACACACTGGATGTATTTCTAATTAGATTTTAATGCATTATAACCCAGCACATTTTATTCTATAAATGCCAAAAGTATTTTACATATTTTGTTCATCTGACTTGATACCAGTATTTAATTTATTGTTATGTGCAGTGATAGGATTCTCAGATCTGGTACAAATTGTGTGAAAGTTGTTTTTTTTTTGGGGGGGGGGAATTTGGATGATGAAATTTGATCAGCATTTCGAGAAGATAAACATTTCACTAATTTTTATACATTCCTGTTGCATTTAGTAATTCTTCTCCAGTTTAACTCTGAAGAAAGAAAGAAATATTCATTCATAAGATATAGATATCAGTAAAATTACTGAATTTATACCTTATTTTCTTATGGAAACAGACCTACTGATAAATAATAAACAGTTTAGAATTTTGTCTCATCTTGCTCTTGTCCCATCTACATGTTGAAATGCTACTGACTTTCCAATAAATGTAAAATAATTAAGCTATCTCATTTGGAATGGGTAGATTTTTTCCTTTGGCTCTAAAATACTTGAAATGAGTTGAAAGTATAAAAACAAAGCAATGTTCTGAGTCTGAAGAATACAAATTCCTTTCAGATACTTATTCTTAAAGGTCAAATACTTCAATTAATTTTTGGCAGTATTATTTATTGTGGTCATTTGCATAAGTTATGAATTTTTAAAAAGTTCTTAGTTTCCTTTTATTTACAACTTCTTAAAAAGCTTCTATTATTAAATATTGCAGGTTTATTAATTGCATTTTAATAATAAATGAACCATAACTAATTCTCACCCTTAAAATCCATTTTTACATTTATAAAAACTAGTTTTCTTTGGGAGCATACACTATAGACTTTAAAAATACTATTAAAGAATTATGTAGCCTTGTGAAACAAAACAAAAGTCAAAAGAAGGGTGTATAAGACCATTTTATTCAAACACAAAATTAATAAACACCCAACTTGGGTTTACACAAATAAAGTACTTCTGGCTTAACAAAAATACATAATGTTGATGTGAAATTCAAATGTGATAGATTAGCCCAATGGCTCGCAGAATAATTTAACGTGCATAAAGGCTGTGGTTTGTAGAAAAACCGGTGAGACAGCCAAATGGCTAGATGCACTCAATACCACAGAATCAAATCTCTAATAACCACGGCACAATGTGGCCTTGAATAGGCAGACATGCTCTAACTTCCAAAACTCTTGCTTAAAGCACTTCTTTTTACCTTAATCTGGATAAACGCTTGCTACTATTTACATTCTGGCATGAAAAGTGTGGGTGAAAAGAAAGTGATACGAAAACTTAAAATTAAACTATCAGTTAAAAATAAATAGATAAACCTCACACAGTATTATCTTTTACTTTGTTCACCACTGCATTATTTGTTTCAAGATATCAATAATTTATTTTGCCGTCATCTCTAGACAAAAAAAAAGAAAATAGCAGTTGCAAATACTGTTGCTCACAAATGTGCTCACTTTTTCTGACATATTTTCATTCTTCAGTCCACATGAGATGCAAAAATTTTATTTTCAATAAATTGAGGCTTGTGCATTTCTTCATAGTTATGTATACTAGTTTTAGAATTTATGAAAATGGGCACCTTCAAATATAGGGTTAATTTCATCACATTTATTTATTAACTATTAAAAATTAATCTTAAAATTTGAAATGGAATTGTGTTATTCTGATATCATTGATGATTAAATTTAAATATATTATTATTGTTTCACAAGAAAATAGTAAAGTTAAATTAAATTTAAATAATTCTCTTGCGCCATTGCTGCAAGGAATGAAATTTGAATTTAACAAATATTCTCTATTCGTATAAAGCAAATAAAAAATTAACATTTAATAAAGAAATTTAAATTGCAAAGAAATAAAAATAATTATTATAATAATTATTTTTATTTTTATTTCTTTGCAATTTAAATTTTATATGGATAGAGAATATTTGTTAAATATTATCATTAAGTATTTTAGATTTTATTTTGTATTATACAATCATTATCAAATTTTCTTGGACATGTATTTTAAAGTTGTTTCTACCTGCATATTAGTTAGTCCTAAACTAGCAAGAGAAAACTCTTAAAATATTTGAATATCATTCAATTATTTTTACTCTTAAATATTTAATAATTAACCATTAACTGAAATATATTTATTGTAAAGGAGAAATGTAGAATAATGTTATGAATCATGAAATGTGCATCATTAACCTCTTTACTCCCAGCATATCATATATGATATGATATGATGATTCAGTTTCCCTCCATGAGCCCACTGTATTAAATGTAATATTGGAGTGAAGTGTCACTGGTGGCCCACAATATTTTATGATATGCTGAAATTGAACATTTTATTTGACATTCTAAATCCACTTAAGTTATGTTAGACTGTTGTGAAAACTTACTGAATGGAATCTAGTGATTTTAGGCCTGTTGTTATGAATATCAGTCATATTTTATTCTATGAATATAAAATGTGTGATGCCTTTAAATCAATACTATTACTTTATCTATGACCAATGGTTATGAAAATAGCCATTATTGACTTTTATAGACACAATTATATGTACCATGTGCAATAACAACATTACTAAGTTTATAGACACAATTATATGTACCATGTTCAATAACA